TCTTAGTTTGGCTCGCTCGAACTTCGTAATGATGATGCTCACCTGACACCATTGGGTTGACAAACAAAGTCTATTGAAAACAACCAATGCATTGAAGGTTGTTGTAGATGCCTCGAATATGAGTTATCTTATTCAGAATACGAGCCTATTGGCAGTTCAGAGACTGGTTTTTTGACTATGAGCACACTGTATCAACCAAAAGCTTCTGCGCTTTCTAGACTTTACTAGGGGGCTAGGCAATTACCTGGAGCTTCAAAACTTTCGAACATTGATGACATTTAGATTCGAATCAAGTTTTAATGTGATTGTTATCGATCCTATGGGAATTACAAGATTCATACATTGCATCAACAGATCAATCGTTTCGGTGACAAGAGAATTGCTTTCACCAAAATTAGTCCATTCGAATTTTGATATAGAAGACTTTCTTCCATCACACAAGAGAGATCAGTCGATTATGAAAAGAAATGAAGGAAGAATCAGTTTGCCATTCTGACTGAAACAATGGATCAGTTTCCCGATGTAAGAGTATTTATCTCCACTGTTCTCCAGTCTTGCCAATTTTGTGTCCATCACTTATTTCCTCATTGTCAATTGAAGTCGATGTTTGAGTTTAAACAAAAGTGGAATGAAAAATTCTCATCGAATTTCTATTCTTCACGTGTATCAAAAAGATAATTTGATGGCACTGAAAGTTGTTTCGATTTCGTTGTTGAATAAGTAAGACTGTTGTATTAAATTTAAGGTAGGGTGTGGGGATATCAGTGTAGTTTTGATCTTCTGCAATCAACCACAGTCACATCTCCTACACCCACACCAACACCCACTCATACCATAAAGTTAGTTTTTTATGGGCTATCTGATGCGCCTATTTGTATTAAAAACAGATTTCAATTTATAATGTTTCTACGTAACGCAATGATGTTATTTACCCTTTTTTTCGCTTTTCATATTTTTAAAAGAGCATTTTCAAATAGCAATTTATTATTTAAAAACCACTGTAAGATATAAGTAATGACTTTTATGCGTGACTAATAAAGGATTGCCATTAGAATTTAGTTAATTGGTCTAAGTTGATGATATTTAATTAAAATTAGATTACTAATCAAAATCTTTTGTCGCTTTTATAACACATGGCAACGTTCAGTTGTAACGATGAAGACCGTCTTTCTACAATCCCGGATTGCTTTTTACCATAGAAATTCTCGAAACCTGACACATATTTCATGATTTTCTTCACAAAACTGTATTTAAATTATAAAATCAAGTACATATTCAGAATCAGTGCGAGAAAGTAAGTCTAATCCATAAAGTTGTATTGGAAATTATAGAACTTCATTTTTAAAAATTATCTTTCATATTTTTCAATATAATTCTACGTATTCTATGCAGTTTTTTGTCTTGATTCCGAATCTGTACTTAGTTTTATCATTTAAACATAATTTTGTGGGAAAAAATGCGAAATACTTGTCAAATGCCAACGGTTGATACATTAGCCAATATGATGTATGCTTTTGTACAATTTTTGTGTTGAAATGAGCAATAAATACAACATTTAAGATTTACAAAAGTTAGTGTTATCGTGTTACGAGACCATTATCGCGTTACGTTAATTAAACTGATCACTCTTCAAAATAAGAAGCCTATTTGAAGAATTTTTTCTGTTGGATACCTCGAAGTGTCGGCTACAAAACGTCTATAGGACGTTTCTTTTAACACAGCACCCATTCGCGGGGAAATAAAGAACAAACACGTCACCCTCAACTTTTTGTCCTTTTTTTCGTCATTGCGTTACGTCATCTTTTTTGCTCTAATTTTCAAAGGGCTCATTCAAACGATCTCATATTTTCAGAGATTATGAGGAAGACAGAGGCACATCTTCTAACGAAAGAATGAACCTTCTGGGCAATCTAATTATGGAGAAAATTTAATGAAATTGTGGTCAAAACATCATCGCGTTACGCTTGAAGAAGTCATTAAGTGAAATATTATCAATCTTATTGAGCTTAGGATTTTAACTAATCTCGTTTAGTATTCAATTCAAACTTTTTAGTTAAATAGAAAATGGCTGCACAATCGCGTTGCTTTTTAGTGAAGCATACAACAATACTAAAAATGGATGGGAGTATTCATAAAAGATATCCGGTAAAAATCGGCGTTTTCAGATGTTTCTTTCCCCGTGCTCATTTATATCTGGTTTCGGCAGATCCTTCGTATCCCCTGGCCATCCGGTAAAATTCTTTGTCAAGAAAATAGTATAAAATGAGCAAAAAAATGAAACAGCATAATTTCATTTCGATTGTTGGTTTTACTCTCTGATCAAAAATTACAATTATAGTCATTGTTAAATCATTGATACAGAAAAAATTTCTTTATCGTCAGCAAACAGAAAAGAACCAAAAAAGTTTAGAAAAAAAAATTAGTGTATATCATCGATCATCAGAGAGTTTTCATTCTTCAACAAATTCACTAGTTGGTTATGCTGCATAATTCTCAATAAATCAAACTACTTTCGCTAGATGTGATACTGTTGCAGCAAAAAACACATAATGGCAGAACTTAAATAACGGACACCTAAATTACTTTATTCGACGGTATGAATGAATCAACAGAGAAAGAGATAATATTATATAGAAAAGATAATGATATCAGTCGTAATTATAATGACTAGGAATGTACAGTTCACGTTGATGAACACTCATAAGAGTGTGAGCGGTATTATCGCCATGGTCACGTAAGTATGAGCTGTATGGCCCTCATGACGACAGCTTTCTATCTAATGGGAAAAGTATTGATTGTAAAAGTTAAATTTCGTTTGTAAAACACTTGAAATATTTTATTCTGATATTTTCTCAATGTTTTTCTATTTTTTGAAAAGGTAACAAATAAATAATGTTATGATGAAACGTTTTAGCACGTGCAAGAAAAAGAAAAGGTTATTTTTTTTTCGAGTGAATGTATCACCTGCGCGCACAATGTAAATTGAGGCAGTATGTTTCTTCTCTTTCGTTTTTTTCCCGCTTGTAATGACGATGCAATTGCCTACATCGTGGTATGTACACACTTCCGATTGCACAACAAAGAGTCAATAACATAAGTGAAGGAAAAATTATGCATTTCTTTTTTTAATTTTAATTCATTTTCCCAGCGACTTTCTAGACAATTATGAATTAATCTTGATTGTCTTTTGATCACTTTGAATTTCTTACACATCTTGCTTTATATCAATTCTATTAAGCAGTTCCAGACATTTGGTGATTCTGGTTGATTTAAACTTGAAGTTTATACTGTAAGCATATCATTTTCATGAAATATGAATAAATACCATCCAACATAAAGCTAATCGTAACGCAAGTCGGTAGCTTGTTTGTAACTACGATTGTTCATTTTCAAAGAAGTGAAGTACGTGACTATAAATAGTGTCATAGTCAAAAGTTACATACTAAGCATCATTAGTATTCATCGAGATTGCTGAATATTCTCTTACAGAACCGACTTTATCATTAAGAAGGTTAACTGCATGAAGTGCAGCTACTGCCTTATTGATTTTCAGTTTGTTAGTTATAATGGCAAATCTTTTCTTTTCAGAAGAACCAATGAGTAAGCTCTAAGATTCCCCAGACCTAGATGTGAAAATATTTACTCATAAAATTCGAATGGATAGAAAGTTTTGATACGTGGAACAATATGTTATGCATCTTTTTAATTGTTGTTCATTTTATTCAAAATCCCTAAATTTATGTACAAAAAAATGGACATTGTTTTTGGTTTATCAAGTATCATTGATTTATCATAACTTCTTTTTATGAAATTGGCAAGTTCGTTTTCCTTTTAGCAATAAATTCATACTATTTTACACTTTTCATGTATCGAATTTAGTAGAGGCAAAGTATTATTAAAGATGGCATCTTTTTTTTAATGAAAAGGAATAATATAAAACTTTTCAAATGGATGCATTAATTTTTCCATCAGTAGCTATTGGTTACGTGCAAGAACTACTATCAGCGCCAAAATTCAAGACATTCGTATGTTTTTTGAATAACTTTTGATAGGAATAAGATAGAGAACTGCATATTTCAACGTTTAATAGTCACAACCCAGCAGCATATTTTTATAAGCAACAACCGTTTTGGAAACAAACCTGAACACCGATTTTCTGAAAACTGTCATAGTAAAAACATAGGTTATCTACTATACCGAGCATTGTGGCAATATTTTTCTATCTTTCTTGAGTTACATTGCATGAAACAATGTTCTTATGATAGTTGATGCATTGTATTGCTTGAATAAAACGAAAAATATGAAGAAAGATAATCGTCTAATTAAAAAACATAGTTCAACCATAGTATTCTTGAAGGATCAAAATGATGCGCTGGTGATAGCGGCGTTAGTAATAACAAAATACTTGACGATCGATTACCTCTAACGAATTGTTCTTAGTCTCCTTCAATTATTTCATCTAGCCATATCTTCGTGAAATACGAAGTGTTGCTTCAATACGATCAGTAACATTATTAAGAGATATCCATGGACCATTCTGTTCCTTTGCGATGAAACCGATACTAGAACATGGCAATTCCTTAACTTCCAAGGAACTTCTTTTGGTATTATCAAATAAGGAAAACACTTCTATTTAAAACGCTAAATTATGATGTGAGATGGGGGTGCCTTGAGCATTGATTGAACACGCAAGATCTAGGATTCAGTGATGCATACATTTACACCATGATCTAACCGAAAGTAAATATTATAAAACACTTAACCATGTAGACAAATCATTCCCCATTCTGACGAGCTAGCGATCAGTCGCATTCTTTCGTCTATTCGATTAACTTTTAGTTATATTCGTATTTTTTCGAGATCTCGATTTTTTTTTTCGTCTTCTCTCTCATTTTCACCTGAAATTCTCAGGTTATAATTAATTACTCAATCAAATTAATTAGTAAGTTCATTATTATTATTGTTATTATTGTAATAGTTTTCTCTGGTGTACTGGCAAAATGCCTCCAAAAAATGGAGGTGGTGGCGGTGCAAAGAAGCGAAAACAAAGCCTCGATAACCAACCTCGACAATCGGCGATGACTAATGGTATTGTCCACGGTGGCAAGAATCCATTGGCCGAAAATTTAAGCCAATCAAAATTTACCATAGCCCCCCTCATTCTAGAGGGAGTTAAGTTAAACAAGCTGCAACTTAATGATATGATAAAGCAGCATATTAGTGACGTCAGAATGTCTGACATCCAACTCAATCGGGCAGGTATATTTACTTTATATGCAAGTGATGTCAAGTCATTTAATCTTCTTCTTAATGATTTTACATCGATACTTTCAACAAATGGTCAACCTGCAGCAAAGGTTTATGTTCCTCGCTCTATCCAAAGAGTCAAGGACACAGAAAAGGTGGCTTTCGTAAAGAGAGTCGACCTAGAATTACCAGATGATCGAATAATCGATGCATTAAAGAAAGTTGGTCTTGATGTTATCGATGTTACTCGATTAAAAAGCAAAGATGGTAATACTCCAACAAGAACCATCAAAATTTCATTTAATGATGCACATAATCGAAACACATTCGTACATACCGGACTTCAAGTTGACTCGATGCACTTTAATGCTGAAGCTGCATCACAAAATTCAAAGCCAGTACAATGTTACATTTGTCTTCAATACAATCATGTAGCTAAGTACTGCAAAACCAAACAACAAGTATGTTCTCGATGTGGTGATAACCATCGTATTGAATTATGTACTGCTGCAAATGATGCAATAAAATGCTGCAATTGTAAAGGCAATCATTTGGCCACGTCTAATGATTGTCCAAATTATAAAGAACAACAGAAACGAATGTTAAATTTAATTAATCAATATTCGTCCACAAGCAAACCAACAGCAACAGCACCAGCTATACATGATGTCAATGAATTTCCATCATTACCAGGTATGTATCAACGTCAACACCAACAGTTACATAATGATATTCTTGATGAATTAATCAATGTACTTACCAGCAAAATGGAAAAAATCATCGAAGAAACAACCAAAAGATTATTTAAATCATTGCAAGAGAAGATAAAGAAAATAGAAAAAACTATTGCATCAGTTGAAAGCTTAGTCAATGATGATGATACATTTGATCAAACTTCGGATAGTGATGAAGAAATTCAAATGTTAAATGACAATAATAATAAACAACAGCAACCTGCAGCAACTACCAAAAAACCAATAAAACAGAATAACAAACCAACAACTACATCTTCGGACACAACATCGAAAACACCAACTACTACAAATACAACATTAACACAATCATCTAATACATCTAATGATAACACAAAGAAACCAACAATTAAACAAAAACCAACAGCCAAAACATCGAAAAGAAATCGTTCTCCCAACAGTTCACTAGACTCGACGACAATGGACAATAAAGATCTTAAGGCAAACAATAACGATGATTAGTATTTGTCATATTAACATCACCTCCATTATCAAACACAAAGCTGAACTCCTAGCCAGATTCTCCAAATACGACATCATTTCTGTTAATGAAACTAATCTAAAGAGTGAACGTCCGTTCTCTCTGATGGGTTACAACATTTTCAGAAATGATCGAGTAGGAAAACTTGGTGGCGGAGTGCTACTAGCAGTTAAACAGCACATTAAATGTCGAGAAATTCTTAATAAAACAACACACAAGAACGAAATAATAGCAATACAAATTGAAACACAACCTTTTAAATCAATACTGATAACCTCAATTTACGTTCCACCAACAGCTAAGATTGATATCAATATCTTCCATGAACTACACAACATCAACAACAACTGTATTATTGTAGGTGATCTTAATGCAACATTATTCCAAATGGGATCAACCAAGACAAATGCCAGAGGAAGACAGCTGCAAGAATTATTTAAGGAAGGTCTTATTGAATGTGTCGACGATGATAGTACAACATATGAAAAAAATGATTATGAAGTTAAACTAGATTGGATACTAGGCAGTCAGCCACTTATATCATTTATATCAAATGTCGAAACACATCCAACAATTGGCACATTTAGTGGACATAAACCATTAACATTCGATATTTCAATTGGAGCTGAACCAAAACCAACTTCTCCAAGAATATCACTTAACTTTAAAGCAGCAAAATGGCCAAAGTTCAGAACCAAATTAGATCAACAACTGATGCTATGGAATAATTTTCGTCGTTTAAATACAGCATTAGATATAGAAGAATATGCAATGTTTATTACCAACAGTATAATGTTAGCAACACAAGAAGCCATCCCACCATCTACACCAATAAACAGAAGCTATACACTAAGTGAAGCATCAAAGAGCTTGATTCAACTAAAACATCAAGCATATCGAAGATGGAAGAAGACTGGAGAACATATGGACAAACAACAATACTACAACTCCAAAGCCTTATTAACAAACTCACTTAGAAATGACAGAAAAGACAACCTTAACAAGTTAATGGCGTCCTTATGTCATAAGAAAATGTATTCTGATAAGGTTTGGCTTACAGTACGTAAGTTTCATAACAAAAGGATCAAACAAACCTACGCCAGCATCATGCATTACAACAACACGACAGCAACATCAGACAATGAAAAAGCAGACTTATTTGCGGACTATTTCGAAAATGAAGTCTACTCTCTTACTGCTGATACACTGCCATTTCATGATCATATAACAAGCCAAGCAAACAACATCAAGAACAGAAATATAACCTCATCAAACACAACCAAGTGGAAGCAAATAACAGCAAAAGAAGTCAAATATCATATTAAACAACTTCGGAATAGCTCCACTGGACCAGACAACATTCACAATAGGTGTTTAAAGAATTATACAGAATTACTGGTGCAACATCTTACCAAGCTGTTCAATTTAATTCTGAAGAAAGGTTATATCCCAACGAAATGGAAAATGGCCAACATTATACTTCTAATAAAACCGAAGAAAGATAAGCAACATCCGTCTAGCTATCGACCGATTAGTCTCCTCAGTTGCTTAGGTAAACTAATGGAAAAAATAGTCAAACAACGTCTAATGCTTGAACTAGAACGACGAAACATCTTACCAGAACATCAAGCAGGCTTTAGACCAGGAAAAAGCACCATCTACAACATCGTGCGATTAGAACGATATGCTCAAGGACAACTTCGACATGCTGGCCGAAGACGTCACTCAGCGGTCATTCTATTCGACATAAAAGCTGCATTTGACTCAGTATGGCACGATGGTTTGATTTATAAATTAAATGATCTACATCTTCCACAATATATCATCAACTATCTGATCTCATTTTTACACAACAGAACTGCGGCAATAGAAATTGAAAATGTATTATCTCGTCAATTCAACTTAAAGAGCGGCACTCCACAAGGATCTCCATTATCACCATTATTGTATATTATATATACGTCAGATTCGATGAACGATTTACCGACTCATACAGAACACGGGTTATTCGCCGATGATACAGCACTATGGACTTCATCTAACACCATGACAAGTCTTTCATCCAGACTACAACAATCCATAGATGCATTCGAAAGTTGGTGCAAGTCATGGAAATTAAAATTACAACCAACTAAAACAGAGCTGATCCACTTCAGCATACATCCAAGAAAGAAATATAAACATCCAGTGGAAGTTAAAGTTGAAAATACTATCATCAAACCACTGGAGCATACAAGATACTTGGGTGTCATTATAGACAAAACACTAAACTGGCGAAGTCATCTTGATCATATCGAAACTAAGATTGCACCTCGGATCGGTCTTCTTAGATATTTATCGAGAACAGCATACGAACCCAACAACAAGACGATGATAAATATTTTCAAATCAATTGCACGTACAATTATTATTTATGGTTATCCTATTCTACTGACAGCTAATCAAAAAATATGGAATCGACTGCAGATTATCCAAAATAAAGCACTTCGAGCTGCACTCGGTCTACCCACATATACATCAGTAGACTACATACATAAGATTAGCATGATACCAAAAATTAAAGAGTATGCAACAACATTACTTCAACAATCAATTCAAACAGCAACAGCTAAAAATGACATCACATTGAAGACACATCTTCAAGATATATTCAACCATCTTTAAAAAAAAAGAAATACAAAGAAATCACCTACTTATTCATATATAACATCAGCATCGAGAAACTAGACAATTGATGAGTCGACCAAATCTGCACAAAAAAAGTTATATCGGATTCGCATATTACAAGACTGCTTATACATAACAAAAAATAACGTAAATCTCTTTGCTTGTTCAATTTCTATCATTCAGCTATTTCTTTTTCCTTTCCTCCACTCTCATATATAATATGAAGTGGAGTCAACTTATTCACATGTTTGTTATATACTATTCTTTTTTTTCTCTTTTCCTTCCTTCATTTTCATACGTAGTATGAAGTGGAGTCAACTTATTCACTATTCGTTATATACTATTCTTGTTTTTTTCTTTTCCTTCCTTCATTTTCATACGTAGTATGAAGTGGAGTCAACTTATTCACTATTCGTTATATACTTGTCTTTTTTCTTTTCCTTCCTTCATCTTCATATACACCACAATCAACTTACCACAATCAATCTTTGAGACAAAAGACTGATGTCATGTGTCTCCTCCGCTCCTTTCAGCTTTTACGACAATACTGTTCGTTGTTTTTTTTTTCGTATTTTTTCTGTTTTGTTATGCTTGTATTGTCTATTTCCATCATCAATAAAAGCCTTGTCTCCAAAAAAATAGTCAACAGTTACTTTTCATATATTTGTCACTCCACTAACTGAGAAGTATTGTGATACTTTATGTCAAATGTGGATCAAGTATTCTACGAAAACCAATATATGAAAATATACTAACATACTATAATGAAGTAAGTAGTTCGTTACTGACTCTCATGTGACAAGAAACAAAAATAGCGAACATAGACTATTTTAAAATATGTTCGAAAAATCCATATGATCTCGATAAGAACCAAATGGAAATTATCATACTATTATTTATTCTTCTTGATCAATTATTTTAACAGTTAACGAACTCAACTCTCTTCGAGCATCAGAAGAAAAATACAGTTACCAATGTTAATTTTCCAAAAAAAAATCTCTTGATTGTTTTTCATTATTATTGACTATGAGTAAATTTCTTGATTACAATCGTAGAAATATTACCTTCAGCATATATTCAATCAAACACATACAGAATGAGAACATGAATCTTCTTTTCACTCACATCCACACTCTCAGTCGGAACCGATGTATTTATTTTGGGCATATCACAAACATTAAAAGAAAAACAACTGTTTTATCAACATGTTTTCGTTCAATGTTTTTTTTTTATTTAGCACATATATCTAGCCTTTGCTACCATTGCTCATCGTGATCTGTGCTTGTTTCTTCTTGTTTCGTCGTTGCATTCTTACTTGTCCATTATTCGTCTTTGTCTCAGGCACGGCTAATGTTGCTAAAGCGAGACCTATAAGCGGCATATTTCCATAGATGGCTTCGTACTCTCCATCTCTCACTATGTATGTTTCATGCCATATTCCATTGACGCTCTCGACACGATCTGTCTTCATATATTTCATCACTGCTTTGAAATGGAGACCCATTTTTGTGTGGGTCCATTTTTGGAGTGATTCATAATTGCGCCAGTACTGAACGTGCAATGTTGTACTTTTACGCTCATTTGCTCCAACATAGAAGTCACCTCCCATATAGCCTAATGCTGGGTCCGATTCCAACTCCACTATCATGTTTCTAAACGCATTTTTAATGTCAAAAAAAGATTTCGTGAAAGGATTTGCCCCATTAGGTCGACTGCCAATAAGGAAAACTACAAAATCTCCATCGCATCGTGCGGTAAACGTTGTGCGAATGATCTCTTTTGAATGAGGAGTTGGTAACCAGTTGTAATAGCGCAGTATCTGCTTGATGAGAGGATAGATGAAAAAAAGAGTTGATAGGACACCGATAAGGATCATCGGAAGGAAGAGTGAGGCGAAGAGACCGATGCCGATTAGATGATAGGGACTGATGAAGAAGAGCAGCGGCATGTATTTGTTGAGTCCATACTTCGATTTCTTTAGATATGATGCAACCGGAATAACTTTGTTCCAATTGTTCTGGGTAGAATGAATTTTCTCCGTTGCGTTGTTATTTTCAAAAGAACACGAAGATGCCATGTCGTTCTGAATCTTGTTTGAATCAGTCGTATGATATCACTCTTCTTTTTTTATCGAAATGCAGGTCTTTTTATAATGTTTTTCTCACCACTCTAGGCTCTGGCAATGTTCGTCGTGTGCACATATCGTTATCAAGTAGCGTCAATTTTTTCTTCACCAGACTCGCTTGTCTCTTATCGCACATTTTCACAGCTAAATACTATTCAACGAACGCAATCAACATTCGGCAATACGCTGAAAGAATGATTCATATACCTCAAGTGAAAGAGAAATGCATTAATAATGTGCGCCTTATCTTGTTTCGGTACTCCTAACTACGCAATAGTCGTTATTTTGTTTAAACAAGTAACTAATTACAGCAAAAGAGTATCAAGAGTATGAGATATGAACATGGATGCATTGATGAGCCTCACTGAAGCCTACATACTTGAGAAGTGTATAATAGTCGCTAAAATGTCTTAGTTGTATTAGCTCCCTCTAATGAATTCACACAAAAAGGATCGACTGCAATCTGATTGATTTTTGCCGTTTTTTCTTTGATTTAGTTATCAATCTTCATAAACAGAAATGAAGTCTGTCGAAGCAAATTGGACGATAGGATAGACATTAGGAGAAGGTGAATTTTGAGCGAAGAGCAATTTATTTTACATCAAATGGAAGATTCTCTTCTTCTAGCAATATGCACAGTTCCATGAGTAACAAAAAAGAACAAAATAAACAAGTCTTTTAGTGCATCTTGTCTGTGATGACCAGAGAGAAAAATGACGGTTTACAGTTTATCAAAGGATATTTTGTCATGCAGTAGTTGTTTTATATTAACGACTCATACTCGAAATATATAGAAGTCATGCTAGTAATAATGGCAAATTGCTCTTGTTTTTCTCTCTCAACAAGCAGCAACTAACTCATCGTGGGTGAAAATTGTCGTTCTGATCGTCTGAGCCGCAACACTTAATCCAGCACTATGTACTGTTACAATGGCCGCGTTGAATATTTTTACAAGTCGTGGAATTCAAGCTGTATCGTTGAACGAATTTCGCGTAGCACTCATTGCTGCAGGCTATGGCTCTTACGTGAAACATCTTGGTCAAATCACGAAAGTTCTATTGTAATATATCATATTCATGATAACGAACATAAACAATCAACATGAACTTTGTCGTCCGGCTATTATCCTTTTTCTTATTCTGAAGTATGTTCTCGTACTTATGGTATAGATACTTGTTAGACGTTTTTCAAACAGCAAAACCAATGAGTTAATTCTTACTCTGATTGTATGTGAGAACAAAAAGGATGTCTCACTTTCGCTTTTTTTTGTGGTGCCATACTTACAATAAATTTTATCATTTGGCATTATTTATCAAGCGTTTAACTCGAATAATGTGCTCATTTTCTTTGCCTATTATATAAGGAAATTGTTGTGAACAAATTGGAACATGGGGCGAAAGAAAGTGGCAAAAATTTTCGAGTGTGGATATAGATCTTGGTAGATATGGTACAAGAGCAAACCCCAACTTCAAAACCATCTGTTAGATAAAACGGATCGACATTGTTCGCACTGTTTACGTTTAGAATTGTGACACCATCAACGCTGATACCAGCAAGTGTGTTCAAAGAACCGGAACTATGGTAAGATACAAAACTGGATGCGCGTGGCACTGCTGCTTAGCTATGGATATTACACACAATTGAGCTCAACTCTGATACAGTTGTTGGATTATGTACAGGAGCATTGACGTTTACATCAGGATTGAAATTCACTTCAAAATCAACGTTCAGTTCACTAATACGAACAGGTGCATGAGGACAAAAACGTGACAACCCATTTGACTGAACACGAATAGTTGAACTGCTAGAGCAAGTGACACATAGCTTATGCTAAAATACACACGTACTACCGTACATTGTACCGGGACATGTTGTTCTAGTGAAACCTAAGCTACATGACACATTGGCACCCGTAGTGACAATGATGTTACTAACAGCCACTCCACCACAAGTATTGCTAAATTTGGCAGCTACTGTATTGCAATTAGATAAGGAGTTGCTCGCTGTGCTACCTACAGATCGAAAAACAAGGTGCAGTACAAGTGTAAGAATAGAGAGGATCATATTGGAGACGAAATTCACAATATGAAACAGTAACTATTTTCTGTTCTGATATAAAGTTACGTATTCAGAATTTAAGCTCTAAAGAAAAAACAAAACAAAATTTTGGAGAGGAATCACAATATTCTTGAATCACCACGTACACTCTACATTATGAAAAAGCAATGTAGAATAATAAACACTATATTTCGGCAAAAATGCGTTAACTGTCATAATATTGGTTTATTTACATATCAATTACTAATAATAAATATTTCTTGGAAAACTTCATTGTAATTTTTAACTTTCACTTATCTCATGAGGAAGAGTATTAAAAGTTGAGCAAAGTCGTGTCACTATTGTTTAGAGTGTTTTAGTAGACATCATGTTCATTAGTTTTTAAAAAACTAAGCTTTGAAATGAAAATTTAAATTTGAGCACTTATCATATTTTGAGAAGCGAAATTGGCTTTTTTAAGTCGTGCATCGCTGCTCTCTTTGCAATTAGTGTTCAAATAATACAACGCATTAAAATTATGGAATGTAGAATAACAGAGAAATGTCACCAAATAATAACTCAAATTGCTCCTTAAAACTAAACTGTAAAATTTGAATAGCAATTTCAAAGAGGACAGCAAAGTCTCAGTTGAGAGAGTGAATTTCACTCTTCAAAACACGCTAGTTTTCCAAATTTCAGTTTTCATTTCATAATTTAGTTTTTTTTTGTTAAATAATAACTACAATGTCTACTCAATACTAAGGACACTAAAACACTTGCATTAAGATGATTCACTGCACAACAAAGAATAACACGATTTTGATCAATTTTAAACGTTCTTCCTAATGCATCAAGTAGAAACTGAAAATTAGAACGAAATTTTCCGAGAAATGTCAATGATTATTAGTTAAAATGTAATTAGTATGTAAATCAAACTTTATTATGAGAGCTAAGGCTTTTTATCATAATGTAGTCCGTTAAAATCTGCACTGAATAGTACATGAAACAGCTTCAAATTATTGTTAATTAACAAAAAAATTGCTGAATACTAAACATGTGCTAAGCTTTTTCCTTGCATTTTATATGGTTGGTCAAACGGAGACCCTACGAAAAAGAGAGAACGAAGAAAATTACGAAAAGTAGAAAAAGCAGAGGCAATCAAGCGTGCCCTCAATCAGAGACAACATCAGGTATTGCATATTTCTCCAGAAGAAAAGATAGTCCTATCACATTTTAACATGAAGTAACTGAATAACGGAAGAAACGAACAGAAAAATGAAAGTAAAACGAAAAATAAAAACAGAGAATGGCAAAAACAACATGAAAGCAGAGAAAAACACAGCAAAAAAGAGATAAAAAGTTCACCATGATGACACGTGAGGAGAATTGGATCAAAGCGAAGCGGATCGTCGACACATTTCTGGTGTCTTCTTGTTTGTCATTGATGTAGGTGTGATCGTAGTCGTTGTTAAGTGGTACATCAGTAACGATTCATGTGCTGCAGATCAAGCAAACAAGATGGATACCAGCGATTTTGAAGTCAAGCTCATTGTAGCGATCGATCGAAAACCAACCTTGTGTTCGAGTGTCGAACTCGCGACGTTTTGAATGGTCGTGAATGGGAATATAGATCTGTATGGGTGTGAATGTATAAATTTGAGTGCGTCTAGGGAAGCGAAGCGAAGGAAGAAAAGACTAATATCTACGCCACTACAAATTTTGACCTTGCCGTTTTAATAAATTGCATCCTGTCGACGACAAAACTAGCCGAGACCAGTCGGTTCGAAAACTTGGTGAGCTTGATCATCGGTACGGGCCTTCTTTCCTGAAATCCATGAAGTCATGCGAATCCACTGTCACTTATCGATGTAATATGGATTTTTTCACTTGTTAAATGGTAAAGGTTTTCGACGCGCTTTGTTGTACAGTTTTGAATGAATCTTTTTTAACAAATAAAGATCTTGGATCGTGGATCCAGGTATTAGGCTAGAACACGATCTAGAGGATGTGAGTATGAGTACGGATGTAGATGAGATCTTTTGTTTATCAGCCCTACACTCGAATATTGCTGACAATATAAATAAACACAGTTATTAATCAGAATCATATCGATAAAATATTTAGAAAACTTCATTATTTCAACATTGTTGTTGAGAATCAGGATTTTGGATTGACAAAAATATAGAAACAAAAGTTCTCAATAGCAAATTCTGTAAAGTCTATCTTGAAATTGTAATTTTTTCTTTTATAAGTGGTGTATTATTCTTGAGCGAGAATCGATATCACGACGATTTTTGGACTTTTCTGAAACTCCAGTCTGTGATTAATAACTATCTATAATCTAATGCAACTAATGGCCTAAAATATTCTTCTGAATGCTTTTTTCAATATTTATTTTATACAAAAAAATAATAATAACATTTTCTTTTAATCAAATTGAACATTATGTTGTTGTAAGTAACTTTGAACTTTTAATCCTCGAATATCTTTACTTGCAACTAAAGCTAAATTTCCATCATTTAAAGGACAAATACCAAAAGCATTCACTTGAATTGGTATTAAATATTGTTGATGAGTACAACAATGTATTAAATGGCTTTTTAGGTCATTTACAAATAATAATAATTCAATCTGGTCATTACACATGGTTGTCGTCGTTGAATTCGATTTTCTATAAACAAATAAAAGGGAAATTTAAAAAGAAAATTTTCTACATTTACTTATCAGTTGAAATAATTGATAAAGGTTGAAATGCATCAATTAGATCAAATGAATGAAGTCGATTCATAGTAGCAGAATCATGTATAACAATCATAAACTTATTTATATTTTTTAAACGAACTAAAAAGCTTATGTAAAAATTATTAATTGCAAAATCAATTATCACGTATGGAGATTGTTCTCCACCATCATAAAGCTTATTTTCAAAACTAAATGGCGACATAAAAGATGAGTATTCTATATCATATTTTCCAAGCATAACTATAGATGAGGATATATACAAAAAGAATACAAAATTTTCGTACATATGTACACTTATAAGCTTATCATTGTTTTTGACTAGATTAATTTCTTGCACGAACTCAATTTGTTGTTGATTTAATCGAAATAATACAAAATTCTTTGTTTGTTGAGTACTAAAGTAAAATAAATTATAATTTGTTGAATAACCTATATTTAATAAATATTCGTTTGATGGTAAATTAATAACAGAGAATTGATGTGAATTAAGACATAAAGACTCTAATTGATGAGAATATAGCGAATAAATAAGTAGATATTTTTCATTTTCATGATAAGATAATAAGCGTGGATTTCTATTATGTTGATAAGGAATTTTAAATAGAAGATCAATCATCATATCAGGTCCATTTATTGTTGAACAAGTTGAAACTAAACGAGATTGTGGTTCAATGCCAATTTCATTATTTCTAAATTGGTCAATTTAGAAGAAAATTTTTCAAGAAAAAAACAAGAAGTTAACTGCGAAGCAAGTTGTTTATGGTATGAAGAGCCTATTGAACCTGACACTATTGGAGAGCTTTCTGTATCATCGGCTGTCGATGTTTGCACGGGAATAAATGAACGTTCTCTAACAGGTGACGATCGATTAGATGAACTGTTAAGAAAAGCAAAAGTTGATAGATTTATTTTAAATGCATATTTTACCATAATAGTTCTGATTTATTATTCGAATATGAATTAAAATGATGATCTTGTTTCTTATTCTCAGTTAATAATTGATCATTTGTATTAGTAGAAAATGAATTATAATCAGCTGTTGGTAATGTTAAATAGTTGTCTTCAAATTCATTTTCATTTATTTTTTGTTTTCTAATTAAATCATTTATATCAATATCTTTAAAATAATACTCAGGAATAGATTTTAACATAAGTGGTCTCAGGGGAAATTTTCCTTGAAAATCTTTCAGTAATTCTTTAACTATTATTGGATTATTATCATTTTGATTTATTGATATACATAATTTATTAAATTGTTGTCGATTATTTTCACATGTTTTTTTGTTTTCTTCATCGAGATAATCAAATTCTTGTTTATATTCTTTTTCAACATTGAGCAAATTTTGAATTTGCCGTTGAATATAATTACAAAAATGTTCCCGAGTTGAATTTAATTTTCTATTAAATTCTTCAATATCATAGGTAAGAAAAGTATTAAGTTTTCTTAATTCGGCTCGCGCTGTTATTATAAAATCTTCCATTTGTATACGATAGGGTATAGAGATTTTTTCACATATACTATAAAACTTAACTTATTCTTCTGCTTGCAACATGCTTATAGGTAAGCACAAGAGAACGAGAAAAAAACACACTGGGAAAAAAGTTTTGTGAGATTTTATTTGGTTATTTTACACAACCATACAAATTTTATTTTTCTTCCTCTATAAAAACACATTAATCATCATTTACTTTTTCATGAAAAACACTAAAACTTCATAGAAATATTTAATTTTAGCGCTTTAAAACTAAATATCTAATCTTTCTTCGATGAAAAAGAAATGAGTTTCTAAATCTTTTTGAAAATTATTTGAAATAATATGATGTATAACACAATTTTATTCGATTTTTTTTCACTGATCAAATTAGTATATTTAACAAAAGTATTTAATAATGAAATGATTTTTTCATAACAGTTTTATGAGAAAACGACAATTAATCGAACGCCACTTGGGCGACGTCAATTGGTTGCAGTGACAAGCAGGTACTGCAACAACTAGTCACACTGTAGAGATGATCGCATGTTTAACAAAAGTGTCGTTCCTATTTCACTTCTAACAAACTTCAATTTGTAGACATGTGACTCAATCACGTACTGATAAACAAAAATTGAATATTGACATTCGCATTTTGAATTTATCAAAATACTATGAAAGAATGAAAAGTATATTCATTATCGAATAGCACAAACTGCACAGTAGAGAGAAGTCCTAAAATAAGAAAAAACCTATAGAAGATTATGGAATAGTCTTTAAAGTAACTAGTACTACTTTTGCTCGTGTAAGGCTTCGTCTTCAATTAGAAGAGTTCATTAAACATTTGTATTTGTACTCATAAAGGGTGATTCAAAAGTTTTCGACCCTCTTTGTAAATTGACGTTATGTATATGAATACATATATAGACAGTTGATTGAAATATACAGTTTTGTAGAGAATGAGAAGATCTATCATCTGGAAAAAAAAGATTGAAATTATATCATAGTTATGATCATTTTATTCATGATGACTAATCATTTAACACGTTACATTTTCTGCAGAAACAAAAAAAAATCTGTAATTTTTGAGTCATTAAGGTCGAGTGAAACATTGTTTTTACTAAATATTTTTATATGATTTGATAGAGTTCCACAAGCTCTACAACAATATGAATATCGAAAAAAATTCTGATCCTCTTTCCAATACAAAATTTCAAGGAAATCGGCGAAAGATTAATAAAAATCTGACATATCTTGCATTCGAGAGTATGTTTGACTTTCAATAACTCTAGCTGATCGACTGTTGATTTATGTTTCGAGATGCAGTGTCACATACTGAAGCTGAAAATAACCTTTTCGAGCTTCATGAACACAGGGAACAATCTATCAGCTAAAGTTATTGAAAGTTCAGCATACTCGCCATAATGCAACATATATGAAATTTTTATTAGTCTTCTGACTTTCTTCAAGTTTTATATTGGAAACAGTATCAGAATCTTTTTGATATTCATATTCATGTAGAGCTCGTTGAACTCTATTGAACCATATAAAAATACCTGAAAAATGATATTTCGCTTCAGACGTTACAAGCATATTTTGTTTTTGCAGAAAATGTAACGTGTTAAATACTTAGTCATCATGAATAAAATGATCATAACTATGACATAATTTCAATCTTTTTTTCCAGATGATAGCTCTTCTCATTCTCTACAAATTCATATACATAACGTCAATTTACAAAGAGGGTCGAAAACTTTTGAATCATCCTTTATATGTACTATTGATGAAAGGTGTCTTTATCTTTAAAATTTCGTTTCTTGGAAAGACGTTGTCTAAATATTGTAAAATCTTTTATTGAAGTTAGTCTTATAGAGATCTTTATGTAGGATAAGGTTCAAATCAAAATTATAAGCATAAACCTTCTTGATAGTTGACATTTTTCACTAATTTCTACAAGATATACCATTTTCGAGCTGCAAAGCGATCCGATACCGGAGAATACACAAACGTAAAACTAAAGCTAACAGAGATTGGATTATTTTGCAAGTCCAATCACAATGTTTTTATTGATCAATACCAAACAAGGTTTCTTTTTATGTTCTTCGAATTCACATTGCTTTCATTTTCTTTTCTTCACTTATTCACATAAGTATGATGCATGTTAAAATGCTTGGATAGAATTCTTTACCAAAACATACATCATTTTTTATTTTTTTCTTCTTATCTTTGTATCGATGTTTTCGCTAGTGTAGTGAAAGATTTTTATAGAAAAAAAATATGGTCACAACATTACCTGTAGCTTATATTTATGAAGACAAATAAAACACATAATACAAGTTAGATTTTTATCATATGTTTTCAAACCAAAATAACCTTGAAAGACTACATTTTTTACGAATAAGTCTGTCCTCAATTTTGAATATTTGGAAGGTAGGTTTAAACCAAAAAGTATAGAGTTTTCGAACTCTTAATTTATCTTTTTGTTCGGACTTTTGAAATAGTCTGTATTTACTTCAATTCTCTTCTTCGAGTCAATCAAAAATTCTGTGTTGTTTTTCGAGAACGAAAAAGATTAATCGAGGCTTATATTTCGTTATCGAAGATAATGATGTGAGGAAATAATTAACACTGAAACATCTCAATATTCAATTTCAACAACTTAATTTAAAACTTTTCAATGTACAAGACGATAGTTTTTAATTGGCTTTTTAATAACAGTCAGCTATTGAAGTTCTCTTCATACAAATTTAGTTCAATAAGAATATAAAAAATTTGTTTTCTCAAATGTTGTCCGTATCAATTTGAAAATTTGGTATGATAAATTCAATATAAAATTTTTGAAAACATGCTTAAATGAATAAAATCTATCATGATGCTAAAGTTGAGAATGCAAAAGTATAAAGACACATAATTATTTAAAATTTGTTCAAATCACCAAGGCCAATATCCGACAGTTTACCCTGTAGATATTATTGAATTTTCGTTTGAGATTATTTCTAATTAAAAATTTATTTGTTAATATTATATTTAGAATGGTTGATTCTAATACCACAACACAGAACATTCCTATGACTACAAAAACTATTTCAAAAGTTACAAAAGCTGCACAAACAATATTAAATGAACATTACGTACGTCGGATAGCAATTAATCAATCTTTTGTTCTTGGTTCTATTTATGATGCGAGAAATGATCATATAGTAAGCAAATTATCATTGACTGTAACTCAAAAAGTTAAAAAAGCAATAAAAACACCTGCAACTTGTAATATAATGAAAGGTGATGAGATCGATATTGATAATCTACTCCGTAACATTGGAATCCATGAAGAACTATGGTTGAGTTTCATGTTGAAAATTGTACCTGCAGACGGCATTATTTCATTGGTGAATTATTCTTTTTCTAGAAATAGAAATATTCGATATCTTTATTATAATTGTACAAGTCAAGAAGAATCAATACCTAATCAACAATCTCTAGTTATGATAAATACTCCGAAAGAAATATCTGATATTGCCGCAACTCATATTGTTACGACAATAAAGTCAGGAATCCAAGCTTTGGTCGTATTAGAACTGATTGATGTTGAAAAAACAAATCTTGACAAATTATTGGAAGAAATAAGTAAAAAATTAATTGAAAACAAATTCGATCTAAACAAAGATGAAGAAAATTTATTCAATCAAATCATTTTGAAAAAAATTTTTTCCAATATACCTAATCTAATACAAATAAAAACATTAGCTGATTTTTGTCAAACACTAATTAAACTAAAACCGCAGTTAGATCGTCATCTAAAATTGGAATATACTTTGACTGCAATCAAATGCTTCTATCCAAATTATCCAAAAGAAAAAGCTACTTTTATTCCACTGGAATTAAAAACAATTAAAAATATTAAACAACATTTAAATCAATTATTAACTAAAAGTCAACAATTAATAATGATACCTGTTTCAGATATAGAAAAACCATCGAATGAAAATGTTAATCAAGGATTTGATCAAGTTCAACAACAAATTAAAGAAATAAAAGAGATATATCCAGATGAAATTAAGCGACTTTGTGATCTCATTTCAAGAATTCACAATGGAACGCTACAACAAAACAAAATAAATGAATTACTTACTGATGCACGAAAGCAGATATTGCAAGAGTCTATTATGTCTTCCAATGAAACAAAAGAACCAATCAATCATGATTCTGGTCAAGAAGGTAAAGACAATTTGAATTCGGACGAACTTCCTACTAATAATATCGACGATCCTACCATTAATTTGCAGAAGTTAATGAGAAAAGATGGTCAAAAAGTAAATCCCTGTCTTAAAAAAGACACAACAAACATAAATTCGATCGAATGCAATCATTTAGAAGAGAATAAAATTAGTAACACATCAGAGTGCAGCCATATTGACATTTCAAAGTGTCCAATGAATCTTCTAGGAGAGAAAATGTTGTCATCAAAGCCTTCAGATCATGCCGAAGATATGTCAGAATCATCCAAGTTAATAACATCATTAACTCCAGAAGTTGTATCATCATTAAATGAACCATCTGAAACCATCAGCCAATCATCGAATCCGCAAACAAAAAATGATACATACTTAATAGAAGAGCAACATTCTGATATACAACTAGAATCTCCTCAACAAACAGAAGAACAATTTAAAGACTCAGTCTATCAACTAAATTCATCATCATCTAAACAAACAAACAATACAGAACAAAATAATAACATATCAAAACCATCGATAGTACAAATTCCGAGAGATACATCCCAAGCAAAGGAATTATCCACAAGCATCGAAAAAACATTTTCTTCATCGAACTCACATCAGTCTTCGACTATAGAAGTTATAGTGCCATTAAATAATCCAACAAACAATGCAGCTAAACAGTCTAAATCATCAACGTTGCCTGCACTTCCGACTTCAGCAGTTGACCCACGAAAAGAAAAGAAGTTTATAAATATTGAACAATCGCCTAATGATTTGAAATTACCAAAGCTATCAACAAAAGGAAGTACATCTTCATCCAACGAATCACCAAACCACGGTGAAACGCGAATCCACTCATCCACATCATCAAATTTAAAAGATACATATGCAATGAAACAAGATTGCTCTGATTCCGCCTATTCAATGACCAACAACTATACCAATGTTCTTCTTCTAGGCGAATCTGGTGTTGGCAAATCAACTTTCATCAATGCACTTGTTAACTACATCAAATTTGAAACTTTTGAAAAAGCTCGTTCAAGCGAACCTGTAATGGCTATGCCTGTTTCATTTATGATGACAGTTGGTCATCATTTTCAAGAAACGATTGTTAGATTTGGTGATGAAGATTCCAATGAAGATCATTATCATCCAGGACAATCAGTAACTCAACATTGTAGATCATATGTATTTCCAATCGATACTCGAACGAAAATAAGATTTATTGACACACCTGGAATGGGAGATACACGTGGTCTTCATCAAGATGATCTCAATATACAACATATTCTTTCGTTTATTAATAATCTTTCACATTTAAATGCCATCTGTATTCTTCTCAAACCTAATGAATCAAGATTGAATATCGTTCTTCGTTCATATTTTCATCGTTTGTTAAACTTTCTTGGTGAAAAAGCTCGTCACAATATTATATTTTGTTTCACAAATACTCGAGCGACTTTCTTTGCACCTGGTAATACTGGTCCTTTATTGAAAAACATGATTTCATCATCTGCAATCAAAGGTATTCCTTTCGAGAAATCAAACACTTTTTGTTTCGATAGTGAATCATTTCGTTATTTAATTGCTCTACGAAATGGAATTGAATTCGATAAATATCAAGAAAATGAATATCAACGGAGTTGGACGAGCTCGGTTACTGAATCAAATCGTCTTCTTCAATATTTTTATGGCGCAATACTCAAGCCTTTTCCTCAAAATGAATGGCGATCAGTTGAGCATGCTCAATTTAGAATAAGCCATATGATTCGTCCTATGTTAGAAACCATAAGAAATTTCTTTCGAAATATCCTTCTATTACAGAAAGATTTGACTAATCGCCCCATAAAACTCTGTCCTATGGTTCTATGTCACTCATCAACTATCTGCTATCGACATGAACGTACTCGTAAGCGCTACAGTGACTTTTGGATTTTTCAAGATGATTTATACATTGATTCAGATCAGTGTAATAACTGCCACTGTCCTCAACAAAATCATGTTGAAATCGACTATCTTCTTCAATATGAACTTTCGGATGAGATGAGTACAGAATCTTTCTCAAACATGAAATCAATTGTCGAGCAACTGAAAATAATGATCCTGCAGTTCGCTCAATTCTATGCTCATGCCAGAAATGCATCGAGTCAGACAGACCCAATTTTGCCTGTCTTAGAACGAATGATTGCCGACGAAAAGGAACTTTGTTCGCAAAATGATCCTACATGCCTTAATACATCTTTGTATGGCATACTGATCAGTTTCAAAGAAGAATACAAGCAAGCGCAAGAAACAGCAATATTAACCGATTTATCCATTGATTTATCGAATATATATGAAGGAATCGAAAAGATTAGTAAAATTGATGAAATTGAAAGGCAGATGTCTTTGATTAAACAAAAACAAGAATCGTTGATGAAAAAACACGAGAAACAGCTTCTATGAACAATGCAATCAGCTTTTCATTGATAAATTAAATTAAACACAGTATTTATTTTTGTGTTGATCAATAATAGGTTTTGATAATGGACTAAATCTATTCAAACATCACATGGTTTTTAAAGATTGGAAGAAAATAATTTCGTTTTATCGTTTGCTATTACTGATGATCTTTGTTCATTTTTTTCTGTATTTTATGTTAGAAATGTAGAGCCACTTGCATGTTTACCACCGTTTTTTTTTTGCGTTTGTTGCAAATGAAGAGAAACACAAGTACAATATTACATATCGTGAGAGTGCGGGAGTTGATGAAGAGCAGACGTCCACACCCACACCCTTATTAAAATAAATGTCATCTTTTGTTACTCTGTAATGAGAGCAAAAAGCAAACTTTTCTTTTATTTGCTTTAGTCATACTATCATAAACTGATGTGCTGAACAAAGATAGACTTGTAATGAATCTCATGTTGAATAGTTTTTCATAATCCTACTTTTTCAAAGAATAGTATAATGTCATATTGCCCAACTTCAATTTATTTTACTGTAAGTTTAAGAAAGTCAATTCTAATTTGATTATACACTGCACTCAAGGAGGAAAAGGCGAGACTTCAAGAGTGTGTACTTCAAAAAACTTAAGTCTTGCTTTTTCCCCCTTGGATAAACGTCTTTTTTGAAGAAAATCTTTCAGAATGAGAGAAAGAATAAGGCATTCAGTGTATCCTTAGTAATGGTCGATCACCTTTTTTGATAAATTCTGATGCCGATCAAGTTACGACCATCATTATATAAAAGATGAACAAAAATACAAATGCCAGGATCACTCATCAAGAATTAGAATAGTAGTCTCCCAAAAACTGTTCTTCACTCAAAGCGTTTGACGAAGAACGCTAGCTGATATGAATTGTTTGAAACAGTTAGAGTTTCAACTAACAATAAGAATGATTTCAAGTCTTCGATAGATGAATAAGCTATAGAAAATCGTATAAATCAAGATGACAATATCGTTGTTTTCGATAAACGGATTGTAGTTTTCCAAGTATCAGAAACTTGTTAGATGGGTACTGCTTCTCATTTTCTCTAACCAATCCCTGTGCTAATCGTAATACTTAAAGACACTTTTATCCAATACTCTAATTTGTAAGTTATTTTGAATATGAAACTTGACTTTCTCATTATAAAATGAATAGACATAAAATGTCTTAAGTACAGAATATTCCTGTATTGTAAATGAAATTTTAAGGACTCAGCACATTTCAAAGGTCTTCTGAAAGTTCTTACCCAGGAATGTTTTTTCGTATGATAGGTAGTACTATTAAGGCTTTTATTTCTATATACAGCCTATGAAAGTTCTCTTTAAAGTAATTACCATTATCCGAGTTAACAATTCAGTCTTTTTTCTGATTCCATAATAATAAAGATCAAAATAAATCTAGAAATCGAAGTAATTAAAAAACTAAACGTTACGAAATATTATTGCGAAATCAGAAAAACGTTGAATTTTTGTATCTTGGCTGACGATGAATACTTTAAAGATCATTTTTATAGTTTGTCTATAGAAATCAAAACTTCATAGTACCACTTATTATACGAGAAAAGTCAATGAATAAAGGTGAATCTATAACGACGTTATCCGAAAAAAAAATTTGTGGGATATCTTGTACATTTGTCGTTTAAACGAAGTGTTTATTGACTGTTACCAGGCATTTTCATAGAAAACATTTTTAACAGTTTATATATTGAAATGTTTGAATACCGTTTTGCCTGGGATAGCGGGATTTAGTTTTATTTTTAGATTTATTGAATTTATTTAAATCATCGAATTTATCTATTGATAACAAATGATTCCAGAGGAAAAATCGTACGCGATTATATTTTCCAATGTATTCAGTCTTTATTTTGTTGTATGCATCGTATTTACATAAGGTTTCTCTCACTCTTGAGAGCGGAGTACATTTTCTCTTACCTTCTCCGCTTTGAACATATGAAATATCATTTGTTTATTTAAAATGAATCTTAGTGCATGTGCAATTTGAGCACATGAATAAGAGTGCGGATGAGAATATTCTTAAACTGCACTTGTACCGTAATACAATTTGATACATTATGAGATAATCTGAAATGAAAATTAAATGACAACATTCGAGAAATAAAATAATTCGATTCGTTTTAATCCAATCGTAACATATTTTATCCGATATCTATAACTAGATAAAATGATGTATGTGTAAATAACTGGAGAATAGAAAAAAACCTCAAATCGACAGTACTGATCATATTATCTGATCAGTCAGTGTTTTTTGCTTTCTTCACTTATAACATAATTTGTGAGTAAAATCAGCAAGTTTTGAGGATTTTCAGTGCATTTTCACTTAATTATAGTTTTCAAAAAGAAAAACTTTCTTATATCAATGAATAACTTCATTCTGTTGGTTTTTATAAATAAAGATAGATCTTTTATGAAGATAAAGATCTAGAAACTTCTATATTAATAAACATAAAAATTAATAAAAGTCAAAAGAAGATAATTTTATCTTTATTATAAAACATTTTTGATTTTCAAGCGTAAAAATTACTCAATGAACTCAATATTGATGAATATCTTTATTATCAATTGATGAATACGTACAGGTTCATTATAACAAAAGATTAATCATGTGAAGTTACATTCATGAAATATAATAAATGATAATATCTAATAAAGAATTCATCGATGATTGCTATAGAATGTCTTCATCTATTTCAGACTATAGCGTAGGGGTAAAATAGCGTTTTCTCTTCTGCATAGCAGTCATTCCGATTTAAAACGCGGTAAGAATATTTTCTTTTCTAATAATTCAAAATGAACATATGTCCTGCATTTATATATTATAAAGAAGTGAATTCATTCAATGCTTTGCATATCTATTGACTAACTTGCTTTTAGCTATAACGCATAATAAAGTAAGTGAACAGAAAAAAACAAAAATCCATAGCTTACTTCTAATTCTTTTTCTCAAATAATGATATACAACTGCTGTTTTATATATATATATTATGAGTAACGTAGGTTGTAAAAAACGAATGGTGTTGTTACCCTGTCATGATTCATCTTTTGCTTTGTTTAAAACATTTAAGTTTTCTTATGAAGCAAATTGCTATACGATTTATTCTCAAATCGTCAGGTTGTTTTTAATGAATAGGTAGATTTTCCAAGCAATCATATTGACGTCAACGAATGAGGATCGAAAAATAATTCTTCTCTTTTCTTTTTTTAACTACTATTAGCCAAACTAAGATTATGCACGATATTATTATCATTGACAACGACCGGCTGACTTGTGAGGGGGAGAGAATAAAGAATTGGATAGAAGAAGAAAAAAAAAAAGAAAATTATGATCGAAAGGTTACACATAGGAATATATTTTGTGTTGATTTTTTGAACGATTGGTATTTATCTTCTTTTTTTTTTTTGAAGATTATACCTCCTTAGCAAGTATCATGATGAGTTTTCTTCTTACACCTTTATTATGTATTATTATATTAGCAATATCATTCTCAATAAATAGTTATCCATTGACTATGTATTCGAAGTAAATAAATTTTTATTTGATGTTTTTTTTTTCTATAATAATTCTTTTGAAATATTATTTTAGTCTGAACAATTTATCTCCTAGTCAAATTGATCATCTTTGCTCATATATTTCCAATATGGAAACAAGAAAGATTCAATCACCGTTAAGTTATTCGTTCTTTGTTTTGTTTTTTGTTTTGAATAATTCATATTTAATTCTATTTAAAATAATAGGCAAAAACGTTTTGCTCTACCATTTCCGGACATGAATAGATTTTTATCAACAAGTCAAAAATCTCATCGTCATCATCATCATACTAATACTAAGAGTGGAACAGAATTAGAAACAAAAAAATATGATTTTCAGGCTTACTTATGCAGGTAATAATAATCAATCTATTTATGAAATCACTTTATTTTTAAATATTTTGACTTTAATAGTATTCTCAAAGATTCAGAAGAAATGTCAAATTTTATTAGTATATTTGTTGAAGAACATGGACAAACACCGGCTTTTAATTTATTTGAATCATGCGAAAAAGTAGCAAAACGGTTTGTTATTTACAAAAAACAAATTTATTGGATTTTGTTTTATTTTTTCAGAGATGATAAATCAGCTCTTCGACTCAACGAACTTTCGTATATATAGTTTATTTATCTGATGATTGGAGATAATTTTTCGTTTTTAGACAAGTTTGTTCATCACGAGTTGATAAACAATGGAAAAGTTCAATTGAAAGACCCATAACAATTGATTTCATGAATCAAATGCTTGCAGCTCGAAAGGTGAAATCGAATCCATATTCGACTGAAATAAATCCCTATTTAGTGTAATTTATATAATTATTTTTCGAAAACAAAATAATAATAATCAAATTATTTTTATTTTTAGAGGACAATAAACATCAAATAAGAACTACGAAGAAAAACCGCAACAATCAACATGATTTATGCGGTTAGATAATTTATCAATTATACAACAATAAAAAAAAAGCATCTTTCTCATGGTTTTTTAAAAATCTTTCCTATTGCTACTGTTCTGTTCTGTTCTCTTGTTTATTTTCATGAACAAATAAAGTAAAGAATTTCGTCATGAATGAATAGAGAATTTATTTTTTAGTTTTATATTGATTTCGACGAAACATTTCCAAGCAGAATTTTTTATATTAAAATAATTTTTATTTTTTAAATGATTTTATAAATTCCGAAATATTGAAAATAATTGATCGATTATTCAAAAAAAAACAACAATGAAGGTTCAATGAGTAGAAAATATTGCACAAAATGATTATGACAGTCAATTATATTGTTTAAAAAACAATGATAGACATACATATTATGTATAACATGCAACTTTCTAAAGAATTATTAATAAGAAAACAATCGATTGATTCGATCTCAATAAAAGTCAATGTCATCATGTTTATTTACAGGCAGCTGAGTTGAGATTCTTTTTCTTCCTTCTATTATCCTCCACTCGTTTATTTCTTTTATGGTAGAGGTTACCATTCTACAGCTCTTTTTCTTTTTCTCTATTCGTATTTTTATTAGTGGATACACAAGATACGATGCCGATGGAAGCAAATAACAGGCATTGCCACGTAAACATACAAGAATATTTTTGTCGATAGATCTTTTCTAGATTATTATATTGAAAAATGGCCGATGCTAAAAATGAACGTACTTTTATTATGGTTAAGCCCGATGGTGTACAACGTGGTGTTGTTGGAGATGTTATCCATCGTTTTGAACGACGTGGTTATAAACTTGTTGCACTTAAAATGATTCAGGTTTTATAAAAAAACAAAATATTTTTTTTCTCCATAATATTTTTTTTTAATTTTAGGCACCAAGAGCTTTGCTCGAAAGTCATTATGAAGAACATAAAGGTTAAAGAAAAAAAAACAAAATAATTCTTAAATAGACAAATTTTATTTTTTAGGCAAGAAATTTTATGAAACACTTTTGGCATATATTGGTAGTGGCCCTGTTGTTGCTATGGTATGGGAAGGTTTAAATGTTGTTGCTGTTGGTCGTAAAATGCTTGGTGCTACTGATCCAGCTAAATCCGAACCTGGAACTATTCGTGGTGATTTTGGTATTGTTACAGGACGGTAAGAGAATATTCGTTTTTTTTGCTTTTTAAATATTTTTTATTTTCAGTAATATTGTTCATGGTAGTGATTCAGAAAAATCTGCACAGCGTGAAATTGGTTTATGGTTTCGATCTGATGAAATAAATCTATGGCCACATACAGCTGAACAATGGATTTATGAATAAAAACCAATCAAGTCATAGCACAGAACAAAAACTAGACAAAATTATCTTAACCTTTTTTCTATTGAAGTGATTTTTAGTTTTTATTGTGAAAAATAACACCTTATAGAATAAACTTTATTCATTAATCTGAACGACGATTTTGCAACCAATTTTCTAATTCATCTAAATGAACTAGAATTAATTCAGCAAAAAGTGAATTAACCCAAGCGAACCTAAAATTATCACAATAAAATTCAAAAGAAAATAAAACTCAGTAAAATATTAATTTTATTTACCATTGACGAGTAAAATGTTTCGGATTGTTCACATTAAAACTTTCATGCATAGAAAATGTTCCAGCATGACTTACTTCTAATCTTTGCCAAACACTATCAAGATTTTTTTTGGTTGCATTGGTTAATCCTTCCATAATAATAGACATTGGCCAAACATTGTGTACTTCTGTATGATGACTGCCAATTCCATATGCATATTGACCTTGATAAAATAAACGATTATCTTTTGATAAAATAAAATTACGTGTTGATGTTATTAATTGATCTTGTGGATCATAAGGTGTTTTAAAACCAAGATAAGATGCTGAAAGAAGTGATGGTACATTAGCATCATCAAGAAGTAAACTTTGAGAAAAACCATCTGTTTCATATGCATATATTTGACCATATTTATCATGATTAACTATTCCATATGTATGAATACCTGAGAGAATATCTATACGTAATTGATTGATCTATATCATAAAAAAAAACGAAAAGATCTTTTTTTTAAATTCCTTAATTAAATATTGATACTTGTTTCAAAAGTTCGATTTGTTCGGGAAATATTTTTTTAATCATTTGAAATAATTGTTTTAAAACTACACTTGCCATCATATTACTCGGAATAAGATAACCATATGTAGTTTGATCATCACTTGGTCGAAATCCACTCCATGTCATTCCTGTATATGAAACACGTGAACTTTGATGATTATTTTCTAATTCTGTATAACGATAAGGTGAAATTTCTGAATGGTGTTGTTCAATAATCATAATTTGTATTATAATTCGAACAGCAATTAACCATTGTTGATTAAATGCATTTGTTCGTTGAGTTTGTTTCCACCATGTATAACTTAAACGTAAATAATAACATAAACTATCTAATTCATAATTATGCATAGCAACATGAATATTTCGACCTTTTTGAACATGATTTGGTTCTAGAGAATCATCTGATGGAGGATTTGGACGAAGTGTTAAACGAAATGAACTAGCATAAGGATTATAAAAAATAAATTGTGTTTGACGACGAATAAGACCTTCAATTATACGTTGAATATCTTTATCATTTGATATAGTCATATATTGATGAACTTGAGCACTATACGATCGAAAAAAAAAGAGTTTTATTTATTGTTTTTTTTTATTTTTGCTTTGTATTCTCACCTACTATCACGTAACCACATAAGATCAATATCACCCGTTATTATATAAGTTGTATTATCATCGAGTAGTGTGGTTGTTGTAGTTAATGTATCTGCATAAGATTTTGTAAATAATTTACACCAAATTTCTCCGCGGATTTTATTAGCTTTATTCAATCGTTGACATACGCGATTAATTTCGGTTTTTACGGCATGTGGTATTATTTTAGTATTATGTATTGCTTTAGGAATATGTTTATTTAATAATGATGTTGGTTGATAAGGTACTGAAGGATATTCTGATGTTGGTAACCAAATCCATGGTTGGTCATTTGAAGATATAACACTATTTAGCAAGATTTTAAGTTTTTCAAGTGCTATTCGAGATCGTTCAATTGTACTTATTTGATCATTATTTAAATCTTTCGATTTTGAAATAAAAGATAATGGTTTCTTATGATTTTCTAATGATGAACATTGAAAAATATAATTAAGAGAAAAAATATTTAATAAAAGACTAATAAAAATCATTAAACCAATAAGTTCTAGACGCGTATATTTTATTCGTATTCGAATTAGTTTTAGTACAATTGTTATTAAACGATATATAAGCATTGAACAATAATCCCGATAATGTTGTAGGAAAATAAATAATGAAAACATTTTTTTTATTTAATAATAGTTTAAAAACACTTTATTAGTCAAAGAAATTACAAAATGAAGAAAAGAAAAGCATCATTCTTTCAAGTGCCATATGAAGCAAAGGATATGGCAAAGAAAAAAAAACCAAGGGTATGCAAGAAAAATTTTCTAAGAGCGGAAAAGATGCACATAGAATTTTTTAAAAGTGAGCGGCGTAATTTTTTTTATTCTACAATCTTTTTTTTCAATGAAAAGAACAATTTTCGCTCAGAAAGAATAAAAGTTTTCTTAAGACAGGAAGGTGCGTACCTCATCCATCGTCACATCTCTGCACGAAGCATTATTCTTCTTTTATTTTTTATTTTGAGAAAATAAAAAAAAAAAACACAATGCTTTTCTTACTTCATGAAATTATCACATATATTCATCAACTGTCAGCCGATCGGTAAACGTTCATATGTTAACTTCATTGGTAGAGAAAAACTATGTTCTTTTATTTACTTGATTACACAAATATAATGTGATTTTAAAAAATAAAATATTTATATATTTACAAACTAAATAATAATTGTGCGTTTATAGTTGAGAATAGTTATGTGTTATAAATAATGCTTTGAAGTAAATAATGATGTTTTTTTCTTCTTACTTAATTATTCTTTGTTCTTTATTATGTTGTAGATCAATGAGAAGTTAACTATTGCGAATATATAGAATTACGCTTCATTTATTTTGATTATTGTTCAAACTTATTGTATTTTAAAGTAAAATTTTCTTGCATTTGAATCGTCTCTTGTCTTTTCTCATCTTATCTAATACATTGATCTTCATCTCAGTATAAAAATGCATTTTGTTTGAATTAAAAAATGTTTATAATGCAAGAGACATGCTTCAGTTTTTATTGAATTATATTATATTCAATGTAAATTGATTTTAATGAAAAATGTTCCATAGAAAAAAATATTGGTATATTCATCAAAAGTAGTCGAACAAGTCCTTCTCTTCCAATTAAGCAAGAATTTTTTTTATTCATGTGATTATTTAGGATTGTATACAAAAAGAACTTATGATTTCTCATAAAGAAGAATTCAATAGAATATAATAAACTTATTGATCTTAATCATTTGCATAAGGAAAGCATCCCTTCGATTCAGATGTGATTAAAAAATGATATAATTTTTATTTTGGTCTTCCAAGTTGATTGTTTTTTTTTCAATCTACGAACTGAAACAAAATTTTTCTTCCAAAGTCTACAAGATGGTCAAGAAAATGTAACTTTGGAGAATACAGATTGATCAGCATAGAAATATTTTTCAATTTAACCTTGTAGAATATTATTTGACATTTATAAATAATTCCTAATTGAACAATCAAGAGTCCCAAGTGCTTTGCATCTTAATTCTTACTTCCGACTTTCTCCATATACAAATCATAAACTTGTTTTTTTTTGTCAGGATTATTTTGAAAATGAAATTTTAAGATCTAATTGAAGAAATCTGTTAACCAATCATTTTCATTGACTTTCGTCCGTTCAGAGATAGCACAGTAAAAAAGACAAATTTCGTTTATTTTTGTTTTTCGATTTTCAAGTTAATTACAATGATAACAGTATAAACAGCTAATCATATTTAATTATGAACTGCCGAAGTCATGCATTACAGCTGTAAGAAGTTAGACTTGTTCAAAAATATGTTGATATGAATCATCATTCAAAAAACAATCTAATTTCAATAACTATGTTTCTGAGAAAAATGTTTTTCCCCGCATGCCGCATTTTCGGTTCTACCCGGATGCCATTTAGTTTATAATCAAGAAAAAAGAAATTTCTTCTGGTAACAGTTATTATGAACATCACTATACATTGATAAATAATTAATACTGTTTTTATTTTAGACTATCAATAAAAGATACTCACACTTACAAACTACCTCATAAGTCTATTGTCCTTCATAGTTTAGCTGTTTCCATGGATTTTTAGGTATTTTTCAATTTTCAGTCACTATTAAAGTACTAATGAGTGTTATAAAATGTTGACTGCATTGATTTGATAGCACGTACTGAGCTATAAAAGAGAATAGATTTATAATGTAGTTTTTTTTGTGGATATATGTAGAGTCAGAGTATTAAGTCCGATTGTTTCTTTGTTGTCATTACTTTTTATTTTCAAATATCATTTATATGTATAATGTGTTTTCAATTTAGTTGATGAAAGTAGACAAATTTAGTCACTTTTTCGAATAATGAAGATGAATTTTAGTTTAATTTTCAATCTGATTAATCAATAACTTGAAGAATTATATAAAGTGTGAATGAATATGTCAATCATTTTATGAAGAGAAAATTCGAACCATTACTCGATATGGTTACGCAAGAAAAACTAAGATCTATTTGTATATATACCGTTGAATAAGAATATTCAAGAATTCATTTGTTTACTATGTTGATTCGACTTTTGAGAATAGTTTCCACATATCATACATATTCTGCTACTCGGTTTCAATTTTTCATATCAAAGTTAGTTATTCGTATTGAAAAATTTAAAATTATCATAAAAAATTATTAGTTTTGAAAGAAAATTTTTAAGACAATCTTGGTTAATCATAAAGTTTCAATTTTAATTTTTGGTTTTTTGACGCATGTTAATTTATTATGGAAAAAATGGTAATTGATTCTTCA